GTTTAGAAATTTGACGGTCAAACCGATAAGCCATGCCAAAATCGCACGGGTTTCGAGCGAATTTCGCACGGTGAAGTGGGATGCTTTATGCGTACTGCGCTCGTGCGGCTATCGTAAAAAGCTGATACGACTATGGCACGCATCATATTCTTTTTTTTCATAGCGATTTTTGTGCCATGATTGCACGACTTCATGCATAAACAGATTGAACGATGGTGCTATTAGCGCATTGAAATAGGCCACGCGATAGTTGTATCGACTGTCTGTGCCAAAATCGTAACAGATTTCTCTCCGTGTAGCTTATCTGAAATTGTGAATCGATCTATATTTCTATAACTATGAATAGAACCATACAATCCTCAGTGTAGTAAAAACCATTTCTTTTTTTTCTTTGATATAGGCACTGTTTCGCGGCGGCAAAAAAGCTGTTGACGATGAGTGTGAATCTACCACGGCATTAATCAAAACTAAAATACAAAAGGGAGGTCTGCGACTACGAAGATGGCTAATTGCGCTACTACTATTTCTGTTAACATCGCTTCTTATTATCAACAGCTATAATACCGGTCAATTTCGGATCACCCGATTCGGAGAAATGCCCAAACCAACTGTTCAAGATGTAATAACCCGTGAGTATTAAATCATTATTATTTAATTTTTTCATATGAGAGTAATTCAAATACTTATTGTTAGAACTTTATGTTGCGGTAAAAATATATCAATATACATATACAAGTATAATGAATGTAACAATATGTAGATATGTAAAAACTACCTCTTTTTTTTTTAACAAAATTTTAATATTTAAAAAAAATACTTCATTTTTCTCTTAACACTAACATTAAAAAACTGATTCATGAACTAATCGTTTAGTACGTATTTATAAGTAAATACTCTCTAAATTCCATTATGGTGTACTTGTATTAAAAAGCTTTTGCAATCGTTAAACAAACTAACATATTATAATTGTAAAACTATTTGGAAAATGAAACACTATCCAAGATCTACATGTGTAAACGGTAAAACAAAATTTTCTCACGATGTTGATGATCGTAAAGACGCTTTAAAAATGTTTTTTAATTTAGAATACATGAGATCATTTGTGCATAGATATGATATTATTGTTGTAAGTTTTTATGAAATCAGTATAAACTTTTAGCAGCGCTAATGAGATGTCTAGAATTAATATGAATAATGTTTAAACAAGAATAAAAATAAAAAAGTATGTTCTTTGGTTAATTTCAAAAATCAAATAAATAGTACAGGACTCTTAGTTTTTTAAAAGACAATACAAAGAAGTATAGAGAATATAAGAGTCAACGTAATTAATTATAAATGCAAGAATTATAATATGATATATAAAATGTATTTAAAAAATTCTATAAATAACACATTGTAAAAACATTACATAACATGTTTCGGATTGAGCCATCCTCAAATAAAACAAAATTTACAACCTTAAAATTTATTTCCATCGTCATAGACAAATCGTGATAAAAGTTATCCAATGTATACCTGTATAGCGATATTGATAAATGCCTCACGGAGATCATGAATTACTTGCAAGCGATTTACTGACCGAATGTTCGGAATTTCATAATATTCTAATTATAGAAATATAATAACATAATAAAACGAGCTAGTGAGAGTCAATATTGCGGTAAGTCTTGCAACATAAAATAATCTTTTTCACATAATTACTTATATTTATTATTCTTCAAACGTTTCGGCCATCATACGGGCCATCTTCAGTGAAACAATATAGCAATTGGACTTTTAATCCGAACTAGAGAGTGGCAAATCCATCCTTGTATTCATTGGCTCGAATACACGAGATTGATTAGTCTTGTGGCAATTGAATCAAAGGAAATCTAGATAATTAACCAATGCCATTAATAATCAATTCAATAAAAAACTATGATGAACAAGAAACTCACCAGCATGAACGTGAAGCCTCAAAAATATATAATATCACACGCATTACATCGAGATGTTAAATTCGTCAAAAATTATAATATACATCTATGTGAGTCAACGGATCACAGTCAAATGAGATTACAAAGTCACACAATGTATACAATGTGACAATAACTACAAGTACGTTATACGTCTGCGCGAACTTTTTAATATAATTATCGAATGCCTTCAAGGATGGGCAAATATGAATCGTGCAAATAATCTGTGTCTGATTGGAGATTTAAACTGTTCTTTTGTAACTTAATATATAGCATTTCAGCAATGCGTCTTTTGTGCAACCATCTCTCAGAATCCACTATCTCCTCGCTTTCCCAATCAAACTCATGATTTAAATTCAAACGATGTTCACTGAGAACAGAAAGATTGCCCCTGCGCTTACGAATGTCATTCTTATGTTCTTTGATTCTTGTCAATAAAGTTCGCTTCGTTTGGCCCACATAAGACGCATCACAATCAATGCAATTTATTTTGTATATAACATTCCTTTTAAGAAAGGTGGACACGCAATCTTTCTGTGCTCTAATGAAACATTTGAGTTTGTTGAGACTGAAGAAGGCTAACTTAACGTTAAGGTTTTTAACCACATCCTTAAACCTACCTGCAAACTTATTTATATATGGAATTGTAAACCAGATCTTCTTGTCTACGTCATTATTAGCCTCAAAGGTGTTTTTTTTTGTTTTAATGTTTTATTGTGTATAAGTGATTTTAATCTTTCATTAATTGTGTTAAAAATAAAATCCAACGGATAGTCATTCATAAGTAAAGTTTCAATTACAAATATTAGATTCTTTTTATGAAATTTCGGAACAGACAATAAGAAAGCTCTATCCACCATGCTCATAATGGTGCCCTTTTTCTGAGAAAGAGGATGTTGAGACAAGAAATTCAGCTATCTTCCAGAAAACGTAGGTTTATGGTACCAGTCATATTCAATCCTGTTGTTGTTTTTGATCAACTTAATGTCTAAAAAGTTTAGGGTGGAACCACCAATCTCCATTGTGAACTGTAAGCGTGGATGGAACGAATTGAAAACATTTAAGATCTCCTCCGCTTTGTCAACTGGAGCTGCTAATGCGATATCGTCAACATATCTAACATAGAGAGGTAGATGAAATTCTAAAGTGCTCAAAGCCTTCCTCTCTAAGGCTGAGTTTCCACTGAGCGCGTCACGCGTCGCGTCGTCGAAGGAGAGAAAGAGAGGGGTTGTGTATTTATATAATCTTATCTCTTTCTCTCTTTCATGACGCGACGCGTGACGCGCTCAGTGGAAACGTACCATAAGTCCTGCAAGACTATATCGGTAATAACCGGCGACAAAGGTGATCCCATCGGCATACCAAATTTTTGTCGATAGATCGTATTGTCAAATGAAAAAAAAAACGCTAATTCAAAAACCAGTTTAAGACTATTCAAAAATTCTTTTTTAGGAATATTAGTTTTTCTAGAAATACAAGGCCATCTACAGTTAACACTGTCCAAAGCTAGGTCAATAGGTATGTTGGTAAAGAGTGACACTACATCAAGTGATATCAAACTATAGTTATCATCTAGAGAAATATTATTTATAATTTTTGTTAAGGGTGTGTGGAAACTATTTTTTACATAACTATTGACAAGAATCAAAGAACATAAGAATGACATTCGTAAGAGTGCAGGGGCAATCTTTCTGTTCTCAGTGAACATCGTTTGAATTTAAATCATGAGTTTGATTGGGAAAGCGAGGAGATAGTGGATTCTGAGAGATGGTTGCACAAAAGACGCATTGCTAAAATGCTATATATTAAGGTAATATTTTTCGCAATAAATTTATTAATAGTTTTTATAGATTAACATCTTTATAATATATGATGCTTGATGGTAGCATCAAATTATTAAATTGT